AGGGCTAAAGAGATATAAATAATGGAAGAACAGACAGACTGTACTGATTTTATTCCCGTTTGAGCAATAACTGCACATGAGTTCCTATGTGTGCAAGCACAAATGGCAAATAAAGTTCTTGAATCTTAATTTTGAAAAACCACTAAAAAAAAAACATGACTTTACTAAAAACCCCTGATTTTTTGCTGGTATAGGTGTGGTTACTCACGGTGTCCCCTCTGAGCAGAGACCAGTCCTGCGCTGCTAGAGGCTCCACGAACACCTTCCTCCTCTTCTGCCCCGGAGGATTCTGCTTCCTCGCAGCCGGCGTCCACGGTCTGTTTGTGGTGAAGCGGTAATGTTTGGGCACCACAACCCTGGCTGCCATCGACACTAGAGCGGTCAGCCTCATTGCGCTGCAAGGGACGAAACCAACCAAGACTTGTAAATGAGCTTCAGAAGGTGGCAAACTCTGCCTTGACAACACAAGCCGCGCTAACGTTAGCTCAACGTTGTGTCGCAGCGGATGAACAAACGAAACTTTCGTTAAGTTATTAAGTTTGAATAGGAATGCTGGCTATATTCTCAAATAAACACTTTGCCAAAGCGTTGTTATAACAAAAAAAAAAACGAGTTGGTAACGAAACATGCAGGAATATCTTACCCTCTGTTGATGTCAATGTCACATGTAACGCCGCTGACCGCGTTCAGAGGCAGCGCCCCCTGGTGGACAGGAGGGTGGGACCTGGCTGCACGCATGCGCGGTGGGTAAATAATGCATCACACTGGTGGACAGCAGAGATGAGGGATTGATTTGTGGGTACATGCTCAGAGAAAAGATGACCTTCAGTGTGCTTTAGCTGCGTACTTTTACTGGACTCAAACCACACACATATCACTGAGGCAAAATGAGACAATGGGGGAAAAAAAGATCACTTCGAGAGGGAAATTCTACATGATACAGCAGTATTTGGTTCAGTTTAATTGTGCAAAAGTCTGAATGCGAAGAGCTCATCCTTTCCTGCATTACAGTATTATAGTATTACTGCATTTTA